TTTGTGTGGTTTTATAAGTGGTTACTGTTGACTATATATTATAGGCCCAGCCCATATTGCTTAAGGCCCTAAGTATATATATATGTGGCTATCCTCACTTGTGAACATTCATACGTCCAAAACCCTAAGGTTTGTAACATGGTATCAGAGACTTATACATAAATATTTTTTTCGATCTCACCTCCCACACCAATCACATCGCCGCCCCGAGATCGACCTTCCGGCGAAGTTTCGCCGTCAGAAGCCGCGCGTGTGAGTCACACGCGCCGCCGGAAGTTTTCTGCATCAATCCCACGCGTCGGCGCGTGTGGGCGCGTGGATGGCCGGAATTTTTTCCGGCGACCATCCGTGAACTTGGAATTTTATGCTCGTTCTGCCAGCGTTCTTCGTTTTGTGTTTCGGGAGGTTTTGGTGTTCGTTTTGTGCATTTTCAGATCCGTCATTCTTCGGGGTTAGGGTTTTTGTACTCTAATCTGTCCCGACCGTCGTCAATCTCTATTTTTTGTTGTCCCTCACATATTGTGTGCCTCAAGGCTGCCCGTCGCAGCGCTTTCATTCATACTTCATCGCGGCTCGTTGCTACGTGTTTGTCAAATCATGTCGCAACTTCATGGTATTACTATCAATATTACTCTTGATGGTCAGAATTATCGGGAGTGGGCTTTCTCTGTTGAAACAGTGTTGAGGGGTTACGGTTTGGCTTTTCACTTGACTGATGAAGGACCCGAAAGGAAGGCCGATAATAGCAATGCTGCCAAAATCAAAATATGGCAGATCAATGATGGAAAAGTGATGGCTGCCATCGTCAACAGTGTCAAGCAGTCCATGATTATGAGCCTTTCTTCATTTCGGACAGCCAAAGGGATGTGGTCCTATTTGCAGCAGCGCTATGTTCAGGATAGTGGTGCTCTCTTACACACCCTTATGCAACAAATTCACGTGATTGAACAGAACTCCATGTCCATTGATGAATACTACTCTGCTTTTGATCGTTTGATGGGACCATTGATCTCTATGGTACCTCAGTGCTCGGCGGAGGAGTGTTCAGCACATAAATTTGTTGAGAAGTTCTTTATTTATCGCTTTGTCATGGGAGTCAGAGCAGAATTTGAGTCCATTCGTACACAGTTGCTTCATAACTCCTCTACTCTGACCATGGCACATGCATTATCTGAATTGATTGCTGAAGTGACTCGTCTCCATTCTCTGTCAGTTGCTCCGCCGTCTGTATCGCAGAGTGTTCTGGCAGCTCCTCAAAGGCCATTTTCTCAACGGCTTAGTGCACCCAGAGGTGACTCACCAGAACCCTATAAGCATTGTGGGAAGACCGATCACAGTCACGAGAATTGTTTTACTCAGCATCCAGAAAAGTTAGCTGAGTATCGTGCGCGTCGTGCTGCTCGGGCTCGTGGTACGACTTCTGCTACAAAGGGGTCTGTTTCCGTCGCTGCTGCCTCTCCTGTCCATGCTCCTCAGTCTTGGGTCCTCGATTCTGGAGCATCTTTTCATGTGACATCTGATCACTCCCAGTTGGTTGCCTGCAAGGCGGTCCCCGACGGTGCTTCTATTCAGACAGCTAGCTGATGGCACTTCTTGCCATATCAGTCATGAGGGTTCTCTTTGCAATTCTCGTTTTTCAGTGCCTAATATCTCTTATGTTCCTAAATTATCTATGAATCTTCTTTCCGTTGGTCAGGTCACTTATCAAAACTATTTTGTTGGATTTGATGATTCATCTTGTTTTATTCAGGATCGTCGAAGCGGGGCTGTAATTGGGACTGGCCATCGCCGTAAAGGTTCTCCGAGCCTCTACGTGTTAGACACTTTACATCTTCCCTCTGGTTCTACCGCTTGTGTGTCATCCATTGCATCGTCTTCCACATCATCTTTTGCCAAGTGGCATCATCGTCTTGGTCATTTGAGTGGGTCTCGTTTGTCTACTTTGATTAGTACTGGTTGTTTAGGTCGTACATCTATCGAGTCTAGTTTTTATTGTAAGGGTTGCAAGCTCGGCAAACAGCTGCAACTCCCATATCCTACTAGTATTTCTCATTCTGTTAGACCTTTTGATCTTATTCACTCTGATGTATGGGGTCCGTCCCCTTTTTCTACAAAAGGTGGCAATAAATACTATATTCTTTTTATTGATGATCATTCTTGATATACTTGGGTTTATTTTATGAAACATCGTTCTCAGTTGTGTTCCATTTATAAAGATTTTGTTCGCATGGTTCATACTCAGTTTTCTACTCCTATTCGAGTTTTTCGTTCTGATTCTGGTGGTGAGTATATGTCTAACAATTTTCGTCAATTGTTGACTTCTGAGGGAACTCTTGCCCAGCTCTCATGTCCTGGTGCACATGCTCAGAATGGTGTTGCAGAAAGAAAACACCGCCATCTCATTGAGACTGCTAGAACCCTTCTCATTGCCTCTTTTGTTCCTTCTCATTTTTGGGGAGAAGCTGTGTCTACAGCTGTTTATCTTATTAACCGACAGCCGTCTTCCAAACTGTCTGGTAAGTGTCCTGGTGAGGTTCTTTTTGGTATTCCCCCTAGCTATGATCATCTTCGGGTTTTCGGATGTACATGTTATGTATTGCTTGCTCCTCGTGAGCGCACTAAACTGACTGCTCAGTCGGTTGAGTGCGTCTTTTTGGGATGTAGTTCTGAGTATAAGGGCTATCGTTGTTATGATTCTTTCGCTCGCCGCATGCGTATATCTCGTGATGTAACTTTTGTCGAGGATCGTCCTTTCTTTTATAACCCATCCACTCCTCCCACAACTTCTTCTTCTTCAGAGTCTACATCATTTTTATGTCTTCCTCCTATTTCTTCTCTTGATGATGATGTCTCTGTTTCTTCTCCATCTTCCACTCGTGATGAGCCTGCACCACCTAATTTTGATGAGCCTCCACCATATAAACAACCCATCACACAAGTCTATACTCGTCGTTCCAAAGGTCCCACAACGCTTCCGCCTCATTTTACTCCATTGGCCAGTCCTGATGCTCCCGTCCTAGATGATTCTGATGTGTCACATGCCATTCCTGAAGAATCTGAGGTTGGTCAGAGATATAATTTACGTGATCGTGCTACTATTGTTCCTCCTGATAAGTTGGGCTTTCCACGTGCGGGGGCTATTATTGATGAGCCCTCAACCTATCAGGAAGCTTCGAGTATTCCAGAGTGGCAACTAGCTATGTCAGAGGAACTTGCTGCCCTTGATCGTAGGCACTTGGGATCTTGTTCCGTTACCGTCGCATGCCGTGCCTATCACCTGTAAGTGGGTCTTTAAGATTAAGACCAAGTCAGATGGTTCCATTGAGAGATATAAAGCTTGTCTTGTTGCTAGAGGCTTTCAGCAAACTCAGGGGCGAGATTATGATGAGACTTTTGCTCCCGTTGCTCACATGACTACTGTTCGTACTTTAATTGCAGTGTTCGCTACTCGTTCCTGGACCATATCTCAGATGGATGTGAAGAATGCTTTCCTTCATGGTGATTTGCATGAGGAAGTTTATATGCAGCCACCACCGGGTGTTGATGCCCCCTCTGGACATGTTTGTCGTCTTCGTCGCGCATTATATGGTCTCAAACAGGCTCCTCGTGCTTGGTTTGAGCGTTTTGTTTCTGTCATACGGGCTGCTGGTTTCTCCCCTAGTGATCATGATCCTGCTTTGTTTATTCATCTCTCTTCACGTGGGCGTACTTTACTTCTTCTATATGTTGATGATATGTTGATTACTGGAGATGATGAAGAGCATATTTCCTATGTTAAGAAGCAACTTGGTCAACAATTTCAGATGTCTGATTTGGGTCCCATTAGCTATTTTTTGGGCATTGAGGTGATGCATTCTGTCTCGGGCTATTACCTTTCTCAGTCCAAATACATACAGGACCTTCTTGTTCGTTCCGGTATTACTGATAATCGGACAGCGGTTACACCTATGGATCTTCACTTACAGCTTCGTCCTACTGATGGTAGTCCGCTTGAGGATCCCTCTCGCTATCGCCATATTGTAGGCAGTCTTGTTTATCTTACTGTTACCAGGCCTGACATTGCTCACGCAGTTCATATATTGAGTCAGTTTGTGAGTGCTCCTACTTCAGTTCATTTTGGGCATTTGCTTCGCATGTTACGATACTTAAGGGGAACATCATCTCAGTGTTTATTTTATGCTCGTGATAGTCCGCTTCAACTTCATGCTTACTCGGATTCTACTTGGGCGAGTAATCCATCTGATCGTCGTTCTGTCACGGGTTATTACATTTTTCTTGGTTCTTCTCCCCTTACATGGAAGTCCAAGAAGCAGGCAGCTGTATCTCGATCTAGTACAGAGGCCGAACTTCGAGCACTTGCTACTACCACTTCAGAAATTATATGGCTTCGATGGTTGTTAGATGATTTTGGTATTCAATGTGATGATCCTACGCCTCTTCTTTGTGATAATACTGGAGCAATTCAAATTGCCAATGATCCAGTCAAGCATGAACTTACAAAACACATTGGTGTTGATGCTTCCTTTACCCGATCTCACTGATGACAGAAAACAATTATTCTTCAGTATGTCCCGCAGAACTGCAAGTGGCTGATTTTTTCACCAAAGCACAAACTAGAGAGCAACATCGGCTTCACTTGCTCAAACTCAATACTTGGATCCTCCACCTCCACCTTGAGTTTGAGGGGGGGTGTTGACTATATATTATAGGCCCAGCCCATATTGCTCAAGGCCCTAAGTATATATATATGTGGCTATCCTCACTTGTGAACATTCATACGTCCAAAACCCTAAGGTTTGTAACAGTTACAAAGTGATGCATACTAATGTGGTTATGTTAGGACTTAATTGTTCTTGTAATCTTGTTCTTAGTTTGAGCACACATCTCATACACCACTACTGAAGCTGCGGACCTTCGTTTTCACCTTGTTTCTTACTTTGAGTGAAATGTGGCAAATTGACATCTTTTATCGAACATCTTGCTTGTCAGGTTTGACAGAAATGGGTGCATCAAGAAAATGGATCAGGTCATTGCTGGGTTTGAAGAAACCCCACAAATCACACTCTATAGAGAACAATGAAAATGTTGGTGTTCTCTTCTGATTATTATTTCTGTGTCCCACCATCAAATTCCTATCTTTTAATATCATGTATCTTTTTGTTTGTAATTTTCTCGAGTCTTAAGCTAGTTAATGTGGTATTGGAAAGAGCTGTGCAGGGAAAACATGTCTGCTCTTACGTTTCGACAGTGGAGATTGGTTTCGCGTGGATAAAAATTCACGTATCTCTTTATTTTTCTTTTTTCCTTTGTAGAATATTATTTATATGTTCCCTTTTGCACAATTTGTGGTGTACTTTTTATTCAAATGTCACTTTGCAATTTTACCAAATGTTCCCTCTTCTACAAGCTTTTGGGTCCTGCTATTATTTAGGAGCGGGGAAACCTGTACTAAGTTTATGTATAGAGTATGGTGATAATCTGTATAAGAATAAATAGAAGTTTAAACTTTTTGAGTCCTCGACTATGTTGGACCCAAATTTTGGTTGTCGTCTCAATTCTGGGTTCAATTCTCAAATTTCTTAACATGGGGTTTTGTTTATTTTATTTTTCTCAAATCAAGGTTTTTGTTTTATCTCTTAGTTCTCATATGAGAACTCAGATTATGTTTTTTAATCTCAAGCCAGTGCTCATAGCTAGCTCCGATTGAGAAACAAAAGCAGCAATTAGACGCCCTATTGAGAACAAAAGCAAAAGTTGGGTAAATCAAACTTCGCATTAAGATAAACATTAAATATTTGTTCCCCATATTGAGAAGTTTCATCTTTTTCCTTGCACTTGCTCTACCATTTTGTCCTTTCTCCATACGGCTCAGACCATGACCAGCTAATAGCAAACACTATATAGTTTGATTCCTGTCCTCCATCGAGAGCACACTCAGGGAAATAATTTCTTCATTTGGTCTGTATTTGCAGTTTAAATTGCCATCAGTTGCATGATTAACTTGCGAGATTTTATCACTGTTGGTGATATTACATAATATCTTTTGGACTCCCCTTGTCTGCTTATAATTGTGGGTTGTTTGTCTCCTACCTACTCTTGTGAACTTGATCTAAAGTGTATAGTTATTATTCTAAATTGTTTTCAGAGATCTGGGAGCACCGAAAAGGTTTTCCGTCAAAGGAAGAACTTTGTTGAGATTGATACTAGTGTTCTTGAAAATGAATCGAATCAAAGTGTGTTAACAACTGAAGATGCGAACTTCCAGTCAGTTTCAGAATCAACTAGATCAGCTTCCACTTCACTTCAGGTGCCAAGTGCAGCTCAATTTCAAAACACGAGAGAAGAATGGGCAGCTATACGTATCCAAACGGCTTTCAGAGGATTTTTGGTAATTTACTTGTTTCAGAGGATTTTTGGTAATTTACTTGTTTATCACCCTGATGCTGTAATTAAATGCATAACTTACGATGTGGTTTCCTATTTTCTTGTCCATTTATTTCTTGTAGTGAGTTTTGTTGTTGAACTCTATTTTCATATCCATCTAGTCATTGCTCTTTCTGTAACAAATATATTTTGTTATTTTTATCTAACCTCTTTTAGCTCTTTTTTGTGTGTGTGTGTGTGTGTCAGGCTAGACGAGCTTTACGTGCTTTAAAAGGATTGGTGCGACTTCAAGCTCTGGTTAGGGGTCATGCTGTAAGGAAGCAAGCTGCCATTACACTCCGTTGTATGCAAGCTTTAGTAAGAGTTCAGGCTCGTGTTCGAGCAAGACGTGTTCGTATGGCATTAGAGACTCAAACAACAGAACAGAAACTCCAACAACTTGAGCATGAGGCTCACGTCAAAGAAATCGAAGTAAATATATAATAAAAAAGAATGCCTCTCATTTGAAATGCCTTTATTATTTCATTTTTTGCCATGGATGCATTATAATTGATAGTGTGTACATTGCAAATGCATCATAAAAGACCGTGAAGGTCCTTTAATTACTTTACTGGATAATTATCGTGTGTTTGGTTGTGATGTTGATGGATAAATGTGTCATGGTCATGGATGTTGTGTG